AAAAAAAAAAATCATTTTTTGAGCGAAAAAGCTAAAAAAAGTGTCAGTGTTTTTTCAAAACAAAGTTAGATGGAAAAGAAGAGAGTACTGTCCAGCACCTTACTGTTCCCTCGCAACGTACAATCCATTCAGCAGCAACTCGATCAGGTCCTATTCTTCGGATCCGTTCTACATCATAGCTGAAAAAAAACAAAAAAAAACGTAGTGGCCACCATTCGGCATAATCCCGTTCACCAAACAGGCAGTCTCAACGGCATCAACCGATCTACAGCACTCACTGATTGAAAGCGTCCAATGTACTCCTTAGACCAGGAAAATCATGCGATGCAATTGCTTTCACTAATTTATCTAATATTTGCAACCGCATCCCTCAAATGTAAGAAAAAACAAAATGCAAGAAAACTATACGTATGGCAAATTCCCGCACTCCTTACTGGAAAAGGAAAATCAACAACGGTCACAGAACACCTCCATTTTGAAACAAGGTTGTGAATCCTTCCTTGCTCATACTTAGAATCTCACCCATCCCAGCTTCCCCTCAAAAAGAAAAATTTTTCTAAACAGAAGAAACACCAGGTTTGAGAAGTTGCTAAAATTATGAGCACAAAAAAAACTTATCCAAAGGTAGACACCGCTGACTATTGACAATTCCAGAAACTGTCGCTTATACTGCACTCAAAATTTGTCAGCAAGGTGGTTTTACTCATACAAAGTCAATGAACAGCAACTCCATTATTCGGCTAGTAAACAGGTACATAAGTGGAAGTTTTCTGCTTAGCAGGATGCAGTATCTATTGCTAATCGTAAACTCCTCAACAATCTAAATCTTCTTGGCTAATCGTGAACTACTGCATTGACACGAGACAAGCTCTAGTTCTACTGAACTCAACCACAGGTCGTGCAAAACGAAGTTACTTAAGAAGCTACAAAGCAAGTCTCGTATCAAGCGGTGTACAACTGTTAAATTTTTTTCCAGTTTTGGTTAGTTTTAGTTCTGTTACTTTTTTCTTGCTCTTCTGCAGCATACTAATGTACTAGTCCGTAGAACTCTAAAAAAGTGATGGTTCGTGAAAATACTAGTGCATCATCTGGCTCTCAAAGTTTCTTCTTCATTCTATAAAAATTTTGAAAGGTAGAACTTGAAAGAACCGTCTATTACCTAAAAAGTATCGTAATCTTTTTTACTTTTGAGGTGTTTATCTGCGAATACAGCAATACTGTCGATAAGAAACTTGCCTGGAACAGATTTATTATTTGGACTATTAAATTTACTTTTACAGAACAGTTTCGTCAAACAGCTCAACTAATAATAATAATATTGAAAAAAAAACCCAGAAATGCCAGCAGAATGATATACTTAATGATTTTTCTTGACATTTATTTCCATAACAACCTGTTGCTGTCAACGCAAACACCAATAAAAAAATCGTTACAAAAATGAGTAAAAGTATCACATCAATGGAAACTGTTCACACCCAGTTCCTGCTGTTTAGAATATATGTAGCTTTAAAACGCTGTACTCCTTCCACAACATTAATTTGCCGCCCTTTAAAAAAGATTTTGAGATCCATAATTTCCAGGACCACCCTTCCCAGGTAACACTTCGGAGAAAATCTACCGCCGGAGGAACACAGATACAGAGTAACACCACCCAATG